AAAAAAAAAAGTAAATAAAAAAAAAACAAAGCAACAAAAAAAAAAGTCAGGTACTCTGTTTTGTAAAAGTACTTTTAACTTGCCTCAGTGATAACAAGGATAACTAAAATGAAAAAGAAAAAGTTAAATGGCTGAGATAACGGCCTAGCACTTGAGTTGTACAACTAAACCAACGTGTACAGATGAGGTTTTCTGGCTCACTTCTCTTCATCGCAGTGCTCCCTAGCAAAATGTATGTTACAATAGATAATGTCATGTTGCAGGTTCAACGTATTTATGTATATAGAGGGTTGGGGGTCGGGGGTCGGGGGTGGCGGGTTGGTGAATTTGCCAGACTTTGCAGATTTATTTACCGAAAAGAGAAAGCTGTTATGCAACATTTTAAAACGTGTACAGGAATCTTTGCAGACCCAGTAAGGGAGAGGGGTGGGGTGGGACGGGTCTCTTCCACATTCAGACCATCTAGAACCCATTGAAGACAGCTTACATTGCAAGTATGGCACTCAGTGATTACGAGGATCAAAGGACTTTCGTAAAAAGTGGACCATACTTATATATTAGGGGGAAAAAGACAACGTTGGCGAAAAGAGCTGTTGTAGTTCATCAAAAACAAATCCGGGTCTGCATTTAATAATCAGTATACAAAAAGATGTATGATACATTTTGCTTATATTTTCATAAAAAATGAAAAAAAAAATGCAAAGCACTTGTGGCTTTTTGTAGTTTACCTAAGCCAGAATGTGTTTTTGATAGCTTTGCTGATCTTTTAAACAAGAAAGAAGGAAAAAGGGCCTACAGGAATTAAGATAAACGGGCTTTTTGTAAAGAAAGCCCCACCCGAAGCCATGAAAATAGATGATGAAAATCCCGTGCTTTGCTGAACAAATAACTGTTTTCTCTTTGTAGAGGTTTTTGTTTAAAAAAAAGTGTATTTCTAATTATATATAATAATATTAAGAATCTTTAAACAAATCTGTGAAATTAACATGCTTGTGTATAGCTTTCTAATATATATAAAATAATTATGGATATAGCAAACATTGTTTTTATCTTGCTAGTGGGGGTATGTATGTGCATCTGCACATATTGTTTTTGCTGATCTGTTTAATCTGTTTAACAGAGTCAGTCAGGGGTTTATTCTAGTTTAACCTTGATAACCAGCTAAAGTTATGTGCCCGTGTCTGTATTTAATAAAAAAAGACCTCTTTACAAATGCTGACATATCATGGAAGCAGGGTGGCTACCATCCACAGAGGGTTTAAAAGTGCATGATTAGAAATTGTTTCTGAAAATATGGATATGAAGCTTGAGAACAGAACACACTTTTGTTGGATGTGCTGTGTTACAAAACCTTTCTTTGCAACCCATCCTTAAAGGAATGAAACCCAAGCGCTGTGTTTTCTAACAAGCACCCAAGGTGAAAAGCAACATTGAAAATGAGGGTTTGTCCCTTTTTAAATATTATGGAAAGTTATTGTATATTTAGAGTCCAAACCCTCAGATTTCTGTCTTTTTACCTGTAACAAATGTGTGTTCCATTTATTAAAAACCACAGCTTTGACTTTAAATGGCATTGGAATTTTTGAAATCCATACAAAATCAACAGATTTTGAACTCAGGAAATAATTGAAAGACTCATATTTTACCTAATAAATGATGTTCAGTTATTCAGGATGTGGTGAAGCTGAGAGCATGAGAGTGCTTAGTCACTGCATGACCCTCATGGTTGCCTGTCAGCTGGCTGTTCTGTTTCCCCAGTTCAATGTGACTTGAAGTAGTGGCAACATACAAATTTAGCAAATCCATAAGCTGGTTAAGGAGAAGCACAAGTTTTGATTTTAAGAAGTCACTTTTTATATAAAGCTAGTAATCTCACTCTGTCTCTGCCTCCTCTCTCTGAATCTGCTGTTACCCAAGTGTTATGGAATTGCTTTGTGCAGAGTTGATACGAGGTTACAATATTATTGCCATGTACTTGTGGTCAGGTTTTTAAGGGGCAGAGCCCCAAGAGTTTCTTTTTTTAATTCAATGAAACTACACAACCTTGTTGGCAGACAGAGTTTTTAGGCAACAGTCTTTTAAGAAAAACCAAAGCTAGTGGCATTTTAAGATTGCTTTTCTATTGCTCTATATCACTTTCTAAATTCATGCTTATTGATGATCACATATCAACAATGCTAACATAACCATTTTACAAGGATTTCTATGAGTTTAAAATCCTAATGTATATAACACATTCCCATACATAATTCACAAAAAAACATAAGACAATTCAAATGACTTCTGTACAAGACATCTATTATTCTGTTACATATTTTTAAAGAAAAGAAGTGCTCAGCTCTTCTTTGCTTCCTCATTCTGTGGTAATAATTCACTAGGCACATTTTCAATAATTCACATGTACAATATATGCCATCCTTAAAACAAAGTACCTTCATTTGGAAAATGTGAATAATTTTAAATACAAGTACTAAAACTAGCTAATTTGAGTCAATACATAATCCTAAAGCTGTGATCGGCATATTCACAGAATTTGTAAATTGTCTTTTCTAAATGTGTTTCACATAGCAGTGAGTTAATTTCAGAAGAAAAGCCACTAGATCACACAAGCTAAAGTCTGATTTGCCTAAGCAACTGGTAGTTTGTCGTCTGCTCTACTTTGTGCCATTTCTCTGTATCGAAACAAGATTAAAAAAATGTCATGTCTGCTTTGTGATACTGGTTTCCTGACACTTCAGATCTCGAGAAAGACGGACGGAGTACTGTTTTTTTTATGACTAGACTGCTTCAAGATGTTTAGATAATGGTTTTGTTCCTATATTTTAACCAAAGACATGGAACAACCAAGGTTAAATTTTAGATTTCAGTCAAAGATTTCCTGCAGATCTTTTTCTGAGCAGTTTTAGGTTTTCCTGTTCCATTCTTTACTTGTACCTCAAATTGACCCACAGAGTACCTCAGATAACGAACAGAGGTCCGTGTCATGAGCAATAAAGTCAAGTATTCCGGTGCGTGACGTGAAGGCAGTGTTCAATAACAGAACCTTGGTTGTTGTTCAGTAATTGTATAACTCGTGCAGACTTCTTGGAATGCTCCAGCTGGTTTGCTGTTTTCTTTATATTTTTTTTTCTTCTTCCTGAAAGTTGTTTCCATTTAAAAAAAATACAAAAAAACAAAACAATAGTAATAAATGTAGCTTGTACAAAATTGGGGAACGTTGGAAGACAATGTTTTGAAAATAAAGAGGATTACAGTGGCATAAGCTGGACTTTGTCGCCACTTGAAGATAAGATGTTATTAAATTAAACCGCATCTATGTATCTCAAGGGACTTAATTCAGCTGTCTGTAGTAAACAAAAATGGAAAAAATTACAGTTTCTCCTGCTGGAAGATAAGGTATTTGTATTTTGCAGACAAATCAGTAAAGTTACTGGCTTTCTTAGTTACCTGGTGTCTATGTGTGCTTCTTTATATTGTTTTGTTTTATATGTTGTACAATGTCAACACTCACCCTCACACCTCACTCCTCACACAGGAGTCTTGCTGTACATGAGCTGCATTGCTCCTGCACCTTTGAGCCCACTGGTTCCAACAAAGAGCCTGCAGTTCGCTAAATGTGTTTCCAGGGATGTAGCCCTGCTGTCCATTTGAAAGATCTTCAGTCCACCGTCAGAGTCTCTTGTTGTGTCTTGGTGATATTAGTTAGTATTGTCCTCCGCCCAACATTTGATTATATGATAATATGAGTACTGGACAAGTATTTCTGAATCAATACTTGTACGTAAAACTGTTGTGACAAGCAACACACATTCAGGTAGGACATTTGGGGATCATCTTTTGCTCCTGTTCTGTTGCTGTAGAGTTCTTGTTTGCACCAAAGTATTCTTTTTAAAAATATATGAAAGACAAAAGGGGCTTTTGGTTTTGTTAGTCTTGTTTTTCTCAATTCATATTCGATTTCCACTCCTCTCTCCAGTTTCAAATAAATGGTACCTAAATACATCCCCTCACAGCTCGGAAAGAAAGATTAGTTTTTTCTCTGTTTATACAGATAAAGTAGAAAACAACACTGACATGAGATTTATCTTCTGTCCGAAGCTATAGTTCCTAACTCCATTCATTTTGAACCCACGCTTAACCAAACTGGTGCCTGATATTTGTTTCAGCAGCATCAATGTCCCTAAACTGTAATGACATTCATTATTAAAGTTAGCTTAATTATTCAGACAAGTATCCACAAGTGTCTGCATAGCAAATAATGGATTTTAAGAAACCGCTTTACACACAGAACTTGTGGGGTGTTACTGTTGAGTATCAGTGCATATGTTTCCAAGAACTCACACCATCATAGTCCGATTGTTCCTCTATTTCTGGAGGTCTTTGAACGCTATAGTATTGCGGATTGAAATACTTCACTGTTCCGAATTCTATAGGCACTGACAGAGCTGTGGTGTTTCTGAAAGTAGAGGCTTGAATTGGATTTTGTTATACAAGCCCATGACTTGTCAAAAGCAGAACGGAGAAAGACCGAGACCTAGAGATAACAGAAGCAAGCTTTCCTGGCTGTCAGACCATCAGAGGTCAGGTTGAAGAAGTTGGATGGTTCCCAAATATGGGCCTAATCCCCCCACTGAGCTCACAAGATACCGCTTTAGCACAAATTCAGGTAAACAAGTAATGTATTCAGTGCCCTGCAGACTTATTCAGACCCTCAGTTCTCACATTTTGTTGCTCTCAAGCATCATGGTGGCAGTGTTGTGTTATAGTCCTGCTTCTCTTCAACAGAAACTCTTGTCAATCTTGAGAATTGTGTCAAGACTGATTGGGAAGTTAGATGGAACACAGTACAGGCAAATCTTAGGAGAAAAATCTGTTCAGTCTGCCGAAGACCTAA